AATAGTTTCGTACCACAGTATGTGGCACTCTTCAGATAAATTGACCTAATTAGGTCAATTTATCTGAAGAGTGCCACATACTGTGGTACGAAACTATTTAGTAATAAAGATGCCTAGTGGATTTTGTTGATTTGTTGTACCTTAATTTATATATATACATATATATATATATATATATATATATATATATATATATATATATATATATATATATATATATATATATATATATATTTAACAGATAGATTACATTTAACCGTTGTCTGTTCAGTTATAGATACATAGTATGACGTCATATGTGGTAAGAACAAAAAAGTGTAAACGAGCCGCTTTGGCGAGTTTATTGAATTTATTTGCTATTATTGAATTTTTTACAACTGTGAATTTTTTGTCTTGATAGACGTCAATGAGTGTTCCTCTTCGGCCACACGTGTGGTGATGTATATTATTGATCTAGTCCCAAGACTGCCCGATCAAAATTAATTAAGATTCACGCTTCTGTTACACGATGCAACTCAACGTCTCTCGTGACACTTTGCAACGCTTAACACCCTTCCATGTTTAACACCTTTTCATTTCGAGGCAAGTTTCGCGAAAAGTTGAAAGGTTCTGCGAGCTCCTTTTGCTCGCCGACATTGCACCGTGCAACCGACAGTATTCGCTAAACCTGTCTCGCAATGTTTCGAAACACTTATCCTGCGAACAGGCGTTTATAGAAGCACCTTGAACAAGCAACCAATCACATCGAAGAAAAACACCTTGAATAAGCAACCAATCACACCCAAGATCATCAAATTATCGAATGATCAAATCGTAAGGTCACAGTCATTCTTTCGTCTGGCCTAATGCTCTCCCGCATATATCTGCATTTTGTTTTTGGATATGGTATGATACCTGGTCCACAAGAAACTAGAAATGTTGTGAATTCATCCTGAAGAAATTTTGATAAGAAAGTTCGTCCTCTACAAGATGATGATACACTCAAATTCTTTTCTGCGTTCGATCATTGATCTTACCCAGGTATCCCTCTACCTTCTTTTTGGAAAATTCTGCTAGTTTCATCGTCTATTAATTGAGTCAAAGTGCCAGAGCACGCTTTCTTCGGTAGTTAATTTCAGCCATGAAGATTAACGATTCAAAGTTCAATGTATCGCGCGCTTTTCTCCCCCGACCGGAAGTTAAAAATGTGAAGTCTGGTGACTAGTGTTCTCGATACGAGTTTCGCGATCCTGGTACACGATGCAATGGTTTATAAAACCTGTATCGGCATGCATTGCGTGTAACAGAAGCTTAAGTTATCCATCAAAATTAATTCACCTCACTTTAAATAAGTAGTGATTTATTCGTATGAGATGTCATTTAAAATCCTCCAATTCGGATTGACTAGATTTCAAGTTCTTCCATTTGATTCCTCGGCTTCGCCTCGGGCTTGATCAAATTACGCGGACTTGAAATCTAGACCAGTCCTCATAGTCAGTTTTGAAATGTTACATAACTTTTTGTGATGTCCAAAATTATCAATGCCTGTGGAATGCTGGAGGTCTACCTGAAATTAGACTGATTTTATATTGTGTGCTAACTATGCAGTTACACTCGTTTTCAAAATTACGCGACCTATGCGTTAAAAGTGCCTGTTTTATATCACGTGAACTGCTAACAGTTTAAAAACAATATTTACCAAAAGAACGATATTGAACTAAAATGAGCTAGACATAGAAACTAAAAGAAACAACAAGCACTCACAACAGAAGTCTGTGTCCAGCTATCGACCAATTTTTTATCTAAACAAGAAAGACGAAATCTATTATTATAGCTGAATAAAGAGCATCCAAGAATTAGTAAAATTGCAAAATTTGGTTGCGAAATGTTGTAAAATACGAAAAATATAGCCCTGTGAAATTAGCGAATTTTGAGTATTTTAGTATTACGTACGGAAAAATACTCCACTTTTGGCTGAAAGGGGTGCATGCTCGATCGCTTAAACGTATTTCCTCACCAAAAAATATTCATTTTTCAGTATACTGTGGGCCTCCAGACAATCCACAACGCGGGTATAAAAGTGGAAGTGTGTACAGAGTGGGATCAACGGTGCATTTCGCTTGTTCTTATTCCGGCGAAATTCTAAGTGGAGCTTCATCTACAACATGTCAGTCTAATGGTAAATGGAGCAATCCAACTCCTCCAAGATGTAAGTATAGATAATATCAAACATGTTGGAAACATGTTGGAAATTGAAGAAAATGAAACCATAATTATATATTTTATGCGATACCATGGGATCCTGCATGAATTTCG